TTATTATTATAATTTTATTCATCATTTATATAAAACAAACCTTTTTTTCTACTCCAACATTATAAATGACAAATTTCAATTTGTCATTTTTTCTTTCTTTCGTGATAAAATATTATTATGAAAAACGTACTTTTTTTCAAAAAGATAAAAAAAAAGACAAAATTTAATATTTTTATTTACAAAAATCAATGATCATTAAAAAATTAATCGAAGCCTATGAAGTCAAGAAAAAAAAAATATAGAAGAGATAGTGAGAGAAAGAGAAAGAAGTCTCCCGAGTCTTTTGACAGTAAAGCACAAACGTTAGGTCGTAAGTCGAAGTCGACGAAGACTGGTTTAAATAAAGCTCGTGTATGTGGGTCAGTCGGTGTAGAGGACTGCGAGAGTTACGCAAGCCGCACTTAAAGCTTTGGTCGTTGAATTTTGCTAACCGCTCCTAAATTGTTCTCTACTCTCCTTCACGTCCTCCCAACTCCCATCCACCCTCTCTCATCCCTTACCCCCTTTTTCCCCTAGTAGTACTCGTTTGTACTTGGATTGCTCCAAGTGCCGAGTGGAAACGTCACACAAAAAAAGGGTGAATTTTACTTTTCTTTTTTTTCTTACTTTTTTTTTTAAACGTATTTAAAGTTGCTCTTGTATCAACGTGCACGGTCCATTTTACTCGTTGGTTTTGTAAACATTAAGTCAAAACAGTTGTATATGAGTAACGCTTATTGCTAAAAGAAATTTACCATTTTACATTCAATGCTAAAAAAAGTGAGCGTTAAAAACAGATGGTTTAACAAGATTGCTACCAGGGGAACTTGATTTTTTTCACAAAATGTTGATAGTTAACTTTTTTTTGCATTTTTTAACTTTACGATTTTTTTTAAAGCTGTATTTGATTTTTTATGTATTTTTGTTATTAGAAGTTTTCTTTACAAACCCCGCCCATTAGAACAGTTTTTAAGTAACGCCTACTTTCTTAGCCTCCGCCTTTTATTTAATTTACGCTCCTCCCATTTTTGTAGATTATTCTATGCCTGGACTTCTATGTTGAAGCTATGGCTAACTAAGCTCCGCCCACAAGAGGTATCACTTTAAACTCCGCCCACAAGAGGCGGGCTTAAAATTCTAGAAAAAAGGCGGAGATTTATAATTAGAAAATATTTTTAATACTACAACCCTTTTTTCGAAGCTCCGCCCAACTAAATACTCCGTCCATTGGGGGTATCACGTTAAGGTCCCACCTAACTAAGACGAGGCCTTAGTTATGCTCCGCCTACAAGAGGCGGAGCACACTTTAAAGTACTTAAAGAATAGAGAAAAATGGGCGTGAAAGCAGATACTTAAGCAATTGGAAAATATTTTTAATACCACAACCTTTATTGTTTTTCGAAGCTCCGCTCAAAAGTGGTATTATGTTAAGGCTCCGCCTACTAAGCTCCGCCCACAAAAGGCGGAGCGTACTTTAGAGTACTAGAAAAAGTGGTCGTAAAGGCGGAGATTTAGTAAATTGGAAAATATTTTTAATACTACGCCCCTTATTGTTACGCCCAACTGAAAACTCCGCCCATAAGAGGTGGAGGGTAGTTAGAAGTACGAAAAATGGCGTGGTCGTAACTACCAAATATTTTTGTCATTATTTTGCCTTATGTAATCTCCGCCCAAATTAGTGGGGCGTTGTCTTTTTATTTGAAAAGAAGGCAGAGAATTTAGAGAGCATTTAACGCCCCTCCTTTTTAAGTACCGCCCATTTTTAATATAAAACGTACTTTAAAGCACAAAAGAGATAAAGGAAGGTGAATATTTTACAAAAAAAGCATAAATGCAAGGCGATTAAATAAAAAATATTGGAAAATATTTTTAACACTCTCTGTTTATCAAATCTTCCATTCTGCGTTTTGAAAGCTCCACCTAATTAAATACTCCTCCCCCCAAGGGGCGGAGTATTAAAGTACAACGAAAAGAGGAGTGTAAATCAAAAAAGGCTTGGTTAATACCATTCATGAAGAGAGTCGTTGAAGTCAAAGTAATCTAAAAGAGGCGTATCCTTTAAAGGAGTTATGTCTACGCCTTCAAATAAATTTATATATTTTTTTTTCCCTCAGCTTTAGTATACCATATCTCTTGGGGGAAACGTAATTGAAGTCTATATATTCAAAAACATCTATTACATAAAAAAAAAGAGTCTCGAGAAAAGAATTTTTTTTTGGATATAATTTTCTTTTTATATACTTGACATATGGGTTTTGTATAGATATAAAAATTTGAAATAGAAAAAAAAATAAAAGACACTTGTTTTTGTAAACTGCGAGTCAAAATGCGTTGTAGAATTTCATTGATCTCATCGTGTACAGACGAATTTCAGTGAACTCTCAGAGGTATGCATTTGCCCCTGATGTGCGAATCATGAATGCTTCTTCTTCCTTCTCGTCGTGATCCCCTTACCATTGCTCCTCCACCTCCTGTTGCCGACTTCCGCAATCCTCATGGGAAACTACCTTCGCGAAATATATAGCCTCCATTGGGACGCGGAATTTCTATGGCGAGAGTGAGAATGCAATGTGGTGGTACGTCAGGTGTCGAGACTCACGGCTTTTCTTATCGCAATTTTCTCACTCTCGCAATTTTTTTTTTTGGGCAACAAAAATTGTAATTTATTGTCGTTTTTAACGATATCCAAAGACAAAATGGCGTTTGGGGTAAAATTTTCTTGACTCAATTTTGACTGACCTAACCTAGAATCAACACTACTCTGCAACGGTAGATTTTATAAAATATTCGTTTGAATATAAATTCTTTGTTAGGGTAAATTTTTTCATATCTGTTTGATGAGCATTTTTTCAGATGTACGGTACATTAGGTTAGGTGGCATTTCGTCGAGATGTAGTAAACATATATATATATATATATATACAAAACTGTCTGTTATCTATTTTCTCGTTTGTACGGTTCTGCCCTCTCGTGCGAAACTTTGAAATCACTCGAGCGTCTCGATTACGCTCGAGCGAGGAAATTTGATTTATTGTGTCTCGCCCCGTTAAATGGAAAAAAGATGATGCGTTCCATCTTGTAACCGGTGTATGATACAAAACGGCTCCTTTTGATCTGCTTTCGAAATATTGAAATAAACTCATGTCAATTTTAAATATTTCTCCTTAATTTAATAATGAACGCTAAAAATTTTATTTTAAAATCCAAATGTAAAAGAAAATTATTCCAATGTAACTTAACCTAAAAATTCTAATAAAAGTTTTCGATATTATTTCTAGCCGCAGAAAAATAAATAGAAAAGTGCAAAAAACTTTTTTCTTCCTATTTTTATCTCAGTTTCTATTTACCATTGGACTTTTTTTTTATACTTCGTGGTAGACAATTACTTGCATATTTTATACGATAGTTCTTTGTCAACTTGGACTATTACTGTCCCTCATATTAGAACCCTTCACCGCACTTTGTCAACCCATACAATATGACTAAAGTACGTAGCTATTTGTGGGGAATCAATATTTTAGTGACAATATTCCAAACTATATGGTCATCGATCGTTTCACGTAAAAGCATCAGTGATCATAAATAAACAAAAAAAAATTAATAGAATCAAACAATTGAAAAAAATTTAAATTTCTGCTAAATAAAAATAGTAAAATTTTAAAATAGAAAAAAAAATTTTGTAAAATTCTCGCTTAATGGAAAAAAATGTCATAAAAATTTAAAAATAAATACGTTCACGAGAATAAAAAAAAAATTCGCGTAAATGAAAGAAAAGAAAAGTGTTATTGACAAGAAAAAAAGTATTTATGAGAAGGCAGAAAATTATACTAAAAGCAGTCATTAAAAATGCGAGAATATTAAATGCACTTTTAATTCGAGCTTCAATCATTTAAAAAGCGATTTCAATTAGAAGCGGTCAAACCTTGAAAGCGCAATTAAGAGCAAATTTACGAGAGGCTTTTAACCGTCGGTGGATTAATTAAAAAATCATCAGGAAAAAAAAGAAAGGAAAAAAATTATTTTTTTTATTACAACTTTCATGAAAATTAAAAATAACGGTCGTAAAACTTAAAATACATTTGACGCCAAAATAATGTACAACCCAGAAAAATTTATATATATATATATAACACTACAAGCCCTGGTACTTAAGAAGAAATATACAAAATTGTTTGATCTCTTTTTACTGACTCGAAAATATTACTATTTTAAAATTTTCTTTATTTTTTCCCTTTTTCTATATAGAGAATCGACTTTTTTTCTTTTCTTTTTGCAATTGTTATAAATTTAATTTTATTCATCATTAATATAAAACAAACCTTTTTTTTCCTAATCCAATATTGAATGACAAATTTCAAATTGTCAATTATTTTTTCTATACGAGGATCGATTTTTTTCCGCTTAGAAAGCACTCTATTTCTTTTTAGCATAATTATTCATCATTAATATAAAACAAACCTTTTTTCCTACTACAACCTCAATGACAAATTGTCAATTTTTCTTTTTGATAAAATCTTATTATTATTATTATTATTATTATTATTAAAAAAAGTACTTCATGTAATGGAGATTTTGAAATTGTGCTTCCTTTCCTCTATTTTTTTTTTGAGTAGCTATGAAAAGCGAGGTCAGGAATGTAATGTAATGCACAAACACACAGAGAGAGAGAGAGACAGTAGGTATGAAGAGAGAAATCGATCCAATGCTGAGCTGGTGCACTGGAATCACTTATAATTCGTGGGGCGTTCGCGCACGTGGCAAAACTGCCACGACTGCACCCTGTCAGAAATGGTGACGCTTGGTATATGTATAGGGATGATGATATCGGAAAAATGGAATGGGAAGACGATGGTGAAGAGAGAATGGTAGTGTGAGATGGTCCATTTTAAACTTTTTTTTGTGGAGAATGGGAAACGGTCTCTCGCTCACTTGAAATTGAGATGATACTGAGGGGAAAAAAGCAACGTTTCGCGCTTTCTAAGCGTGCTGTTGACAGAAAAACAATTATTTTTGACACTCACCGAGTTAATGGCTGTCATGCTGTTCACTCGACTTGGATCCGCGACCACTAGCCCGCTGTCGCTCTGTAACAAAAGAAAAATAATTTTATTTTTAAGTCATTTATTTATTTTATAATTTATTCAATTATTTTTTATAATTTACTTAAATAATGAATATTTAGTTTTTGAATTACGCGCCAAAAAATAGTTGAGGACGCCATCGATAGGTGGCGCTACAAACGTTGAAACCCTATCGGAGAGGAATGAGGTAAAGTTTCTCGTGTTATCTGAAAAATATTGTTCTTTGGAAAAATTGAATGTAAAAATTCTAGTTTTTTCAAAGGATGAGTAAATTTTAGCATTACATGAAAAATGCTATTTTTTCAGTGGGATTTTCAACACTTTTAAAATTCAACATTTCTGTTGGCCAAGACTTTGGGGGCGGGGGTAGGGATTTGAATTCAATTCTTGTAAGTAAATCCATCGGAATGATGCGGGAAATCCGCTTCGAGCATTTCTGTCCACCAAAACTTGCTTTCGATTCTATATATGAAAGCAAGTCGAACAGTCCGTAGTAGAGAAACTATGTTGACGTAAGACTTTGGCACTTTGGTCGTTTCCCGCAATGCTGACACATCCGAAAGGGGGCAAAAAAATCTCTCTCTCTCTCTCTCTCTGGCAAAGCAAATACTGGCGTGTGTATTCCACCATCATCGTGTGTAAGATTTTATCAGATTTCCGTTCAATTTTCGTAAATTTAGTATTCCTCCCAAAGTGTAAATTTACCAGTTTAAATAGGAGAAAAAAAATTGTTTTCTACTTTTTAAATAAATATTATTTGAAGTTAAATAATTACAAATATTGAATGACAAAATTTGTCAACTAAATTATTTAGCAAAAATTAAGTGATTAATTATTTTTGACATTTTATTGACAGGTTTTTTGTTTATGCATAATTTTTCATCTGAAAATGATGTGAAATTTATAAGGATTTATATCATCATAGCAGTACAGGAGTTTAAAAAAAAATTGTCTGCTGATTCATTGCCAGGCGAAATCCGATGAATGCCACCTACTGCATTTGAAAATATACACGCTCTCTCTCTCTCTCGCCATTCATTATTTTACCACACGGTGAACAACATTCTCTGTTCATCGTGCGACTAAATTTGTTTACGTAGAAATAGACCCCTGTAAATTACGGCCTTTGTCGATTCAATTTTTTATTGTACACAGCCCAGTGTCATGCTACAAATGAGATTTCAAGTACGTTTTGTGCAAAATTTTCAAACTCTATTATGTTACACATTCATTTCTATCACGAAACTAATTGATTACTCAAAATTCGAAAAAAATTTCGTGATTTGAAAATGAAAAAAAAAAAATTTCCTTACTTAATGACGCCATCGCCAGGCGGCGCTGTTGAAGAAAATTTAATAAGATTTCCTTTTTGTATGGACGATAAATAATTTTGGAAGTAGAAAAAAGAGTAAATCCTTTCTAAGAAAATGGTGCCGAAAATTTAAGGAATGGAGAAAAGGTGCCAGATTCACGGTTAGATTCATTTTCAGTCCTCTTTGCGTTAAACGCAGCGAGAGAATCGCAAAATGACATACCATCGTCGCGGAAGTGGGCGGAAGTCGTAAAACTAGAAATTAACCGTGCGATTCAAAATGCGTTCAAGAAAAGGCGGGAATATGAGAGAGAGAGAGAGAAATATCGCAACTTTTAGGTATTAATTCACAAATGCAATCAAACGAAAGTAAACTCCATTTAGTTTTCAGAAAAAGGAACAACTTTAAACCAAGTATTGCAAAACATAATTAACAAGTGAAAAAGAAAAACGAAACAATTCTAATTTCTGTTGGCGTGGAGAGGGGGAAAGACACTACCTGTCGACGGCGTCCCATAACTAATTTTTCTCGCATCTGGCGCGTAATTTAAATTTCTCCAAAATAGAAATTTAATTATTTTCAAAATTTATAGAAAGGCATATAATTAATAGTTAATTAAGTTTAGTTAATAGTTAATTAATTTTTAATAATTGAAAATAATTAATTTAATAATGCAAAAAATTTTTTTTTCTTTATTCAGAACAGAAATTATTATTATTGAAAAATGGTACAAAATTCTTGCATTGGAAAAGATTTTAAGAAAAAGAAGATTAACGATGAGATTTTGTAAAGCTGTAGAGTACAGTATCTCGATTTAGTAGAAATTAGAACTCTCTCTCTCTCTCTCAACCCATTTCCGTGGCAGGTAACCTTGCATGTAGGCGGTCCCTTGGTCCGTTCGTTTTGAGTTTGACACGAAAATTTATTCGTGCATAACTGATTTGGCATTGGTTCAAGACGTCTACTCCCTTTTCTTCATTTTCGCGACTCTTCTTCGACAATGCTATATACTGATACTATATATATTTTACGATAACAGTTTTTTTTTCTAAAGCCATTGAACTTTCTTCTTCTTCTTCTTTTGAAATTTGGTACCGATTTGTGATGTAAAAAATATTATTTCTAGTTTATTTATTATCTATTAATAATTAAATACAATATTTTTTGCAATTTCGCGCTAAATCGGGTTTAGTTAATGACGCCACCGCTTGGCGGCGTTAAAGTTAAATTCCTTCGAAGACAGTTTAATTAACTAAATGACAGATGAAAATATGGATGTTTTTATGAGTTATTTTGAAAATAGAATTAATAATTGCAGCTTCATCTTTGGTTTGAGAGTTGTTTGAAAATTATTCAAAAGTAATAAATCAAAAGAAATAGGTAAACGTCTTGATGAGATGAATTTTTGTGATCGTTAATAGAAATTGTTGATGGCGTTGAGAAGTGGTTCACACCCAGGATGGCAAAGCTTCAAGAATTCACCCAGAATGTTGACATGTGTATAACCCAAGGCGTGCCAGTGTCAGATTTACATGCACATTGTTCTGTCGCTGACGAGCCAAGCGAGGACAGACTCACTGTTGTCATTTCAAATGCAAACATTAAAGAAGGTCAATAAAGTTCATATCATTATTTTTTTTCCTATTTAATTCATAATTATGTTAATAATTAAAAATCAATTTCCAAAAAAAAAATTGTTCTTTTAATTTGAAATTTCAATTTGATATATTGACTTATAGAAAAAAATTGTTAGAATTTTTTTCAAGTTGGATATGTTAAATGAATTTTGGGTCAAGAGCACTTGGAATGAGGTGGAAACTCTGCTAGGCAAACTACCCGCTCATTAATTTTCGTTTTACCTAAAAGCGATTATGACACTCCACAAAAGACCAAAGAGCTTTTGGAATAACTAAGGTTCCTGAGGTGGAAGGTTTGTTGGCAGTGGCCATGTTTCAATATTAAGAAAGCTTTGCATTATGATTTAAATAAGCACGTGAAACTGTATGATCATGCGCGCACGTTGAAAATTTACAGCCTCATATAAATTATATATGAGAATCGTATACAAAAATGCTTTTTGTAGTTTCTTTTATATTATGTATCATTCAAAGATTTTTCCTTTTTGAAGTTTTAAAATTTTAAATAAAAAAAAATAATTTGAAAATTTACTTTTTCAATTATAATAATAAATATAGTTTATGCAATATTAATAAAAAAAAATTATTATTCTAGTGTAAGTAGTTTCAATAATTCTAATAATTATTCATTTTTATTTTGAATTTCGCGCCATTAAGAATTAGTTAGTGACGCTGTCGACTGGCGGCGCATTACAAATATCATTATGGTCAGTGCTTATTTTCTTTTACTTTTATCTTGTTTGGTTTTATTATTTTATTTTGCAGTTTTTGTTCTGTTGATGAAAGTAAAAAATTTAAACCATAAATAATACAAATTTTCGTAGGAAATGTTACATTGAAATTAATTTACAGAAATTTTAATTTCAGCGCCAAATCTGATTAGTTGATGACGCCTCCGCCATAGGGCTATTTGCCTCTTTTAAAAAACTGATTACCAGGTGGTCCATTTTGTAAATTGAAAATCTTTTCTAAAATTATTATATTTTTAGTATAGGCTATATTGATTCAAATATTTTTAGACTTTCTTTTCAAATCTCCTTCGCCTTAAATCCAATGTATGTGCGCCTGAATGCAACGGGATTCTAAAGCGTCGTTTCAATTCCACTTGATCCATTCGCCAATTGGATATATCGTCTTATCAAAGTCATTCAACTTTGGCCGAAGGTATATATATATATTTATATATTTCGTCGTGGTCAATGTATCGTACAATTTTTAAGAATTTTTTTTTCCTTTTTATCAATCTAAATGAAAAGTTGTAGGATAAAAATGGAGGTTAAAAATGATCGTCTTCGAAATGTCAAGGAGTTGGTCGTTTAAAAAGAAGTCTGTAACAACGGAAGTTTAGCTTGATCGATGATGTGATTGTCACTTCCCCCCTTCTAAACCATCTCTCTCTCTCTCTCTCTCTCTCTTTGCCTTGAATTCTTGCTTCTGGTGCTTTCTCTCTCTCTCTCTGGAAGCTTAACTCTCCATCCCTCCGTCAAGTCACAAGAATAATTCACTCGTGACACGTGCGCCAGACTAAAAATAGTCTTGTCGAGATTACAGTGTACGTCGTAAGGTGTCCAATGCATCAATGCTAAGAATGGAAAAGAAAGTACCAAAAACGTACGAGTTCCATTTTTTTTCACGTTTTTATATCGACTGATGCTTTTAATTAGATCTATTTTTTTAAATTTCTTTACTTTTTTATCTAAATGACTATAATTATAGTTAAGGACGCCACCGCTAGATGGCGAAGCAGTAAATAAGAAAATATTTTTAATTTTCAAATACAAAAAAAAATTTATTTATTGCTTCGCCATCTAGCGGTGGCGTCCTTAACTATTATTATAGTCATTTAAATAATAAAGTAAAGAGTAATCAAAGTAAAATTATAAAAAAATAATAATAGTAAGTAATAATTATAAAAATATGTTTCCTGGATATAGGAAAATAATATTTTTTATGCAATGTAATTAGCGTAAAAGTGTGCCATCTGCCGTAAGCGTCCTTTAACTAATAGAATTAAAAATTCTTTTTCTTTAGATTTCTATAATTTTAAGAGAAA